CAAACATTTTATGAATTTGAATACAATAAAATTAACAACTTTCTTTCTTTTTCTTAACAATTTCTTTTCAAAGAAGTGTATCATGGGTAAAGTTAAAAGAGGGAGAGGATATTCACAATGTCTGAAACTGACTGGACTAAGAGCTGGACTATATAAGGAACTCTAGCAAATCAACAGGAAAGAGGGACCCCAAAAGAAAAAAATGGGCCAACTATACAAACAGGCAATTTATACAGAGGTGTTTAACATGCATATGAAGAGATGCTCAAAAATTCATTAGTAATTAGAGAAATGCAAACTGAAACAAAATATCACTTTATACCTGTTAGACTGGCAAAAACTAGAAATCTGGAAGATGTCAAGTGTCAGTGAGGATGTAGAGGTACAGGAATCCTTGTACACTGATGGTAAAACTGGACTGGTGTAGCCATCTCAGAGAACCATCTAGCAGTATTAGTGTTCTTAGTCAGACTAAGTATGTGTACCCTTTTTAAAAACATATTTTTATTGATTTCAGAGAGGAAGGCAGAAGGTGAGAGAGATAGAAACATCAATGATGAGAGAGAATCATTGATCGGCTGCCTCCTACACGCCCCTACTGGGGATCAAGCCCACAACCCAGGGGAGGGGCCCTCAACCAGAATCAAACCTGGGACCCTTCAGTCCACGGGCTAAACCGGCTAGGGCTGTGCATACTTTATGATGCAATCATTCTCTTCATGGGTATATGTGCCAAAGGAAATTCTCATATAGGCCACTAAGGGGACACGAACAAGACTTTGCATCATAGTATTATTTGTGGTATCTGGGAGCTAGAAGTAATCCTGCTGTCAGTCATTATGGAAATTCAGGGAAAATGTGGTGAAGGCACACTGGTTAGCATGGGCAGTCAGGAGCAATAGATTAGATGTATGCATAGCAATGTGGACAGGCTTGAAAACACATGGCTGAATGAAAAAAGTGAGAAACATAATGAGATACCATTTATATGAAATACAATTGCACACACACAAAGCATCCTTCAGCGTGGGACAACCTGATCTTATGTGCCTCCTGAGGGATATAGTATGAAGTAAACAATATCCTCTATGTACTGTTATTGCTGAAAATATTTAATCTGAATCTAATCATGTGGAAAGAGCAGATAAATCCAGAATGGGGGACAGTTTACAAAAAAACTTGTCAAAAATATCAGTGTAGTCTTAGCCAGTGTTGCTCAGTGGATAGAGTGTCGGCCCTCAGACTGAAGGGTCCTGGGTTTGATTCTGGTCAAGGGCATGTACCTTGGTTGCAGGCTTGGTCCTCAGTAGGGGGCGTTCAGGGGGCAGCTGATAGATGTTTCTCTCTCATTGATATTTCTAATTCTCTATCCCTCTCCCTTCCTCCCTGTAAAAATCAATAAGATATATTTGAAAAAAAATCAGTGTAATATAAAAAACACAAAAAATACAGGGGTATTGTTCTAGATTGAAAAGGTTAAAGCAATACAACCACCACACATAATGCATAAACCTTGATTAGATCATTGGATTAAAAATAAGAGCAGGTCTAAAAACATTTTGGGTACAACTGTAAAATTTGAATATAGGGCATTTTTTATTGTATTATTGAATTGTTGCATTTTCTTAGGTGTAGTAATGGTATTGTGTTTATGTAGGAGAATGTCCTTATTCTAATAGATGTGTGCTGAAGAATTTAGGGGTAAAGTGTTATACTGCCTGCAACTTTCAATTGGTTCATTAAAAAGGAAATGTATACATACACATATCAATAGAAGTAGAGCAAATTTTGCAAAATATTAAGGGTAAATGGGTTTTCATTGTACTATTCTTTCAGCTGTTCTGAATTTCGAAAAATTGAAAAATAAAAATTTGGGGGAAATACTTGCACATAAAACAACAGTGCATATTTTGCAAGAACACATACACAAAAGAGAAGCATAATATACTTTAGAATGGTTGCGTACATTAGGGAAATAAGACTGGAAAGTAGAGATGAAAATGAATTAAACAAATAGCAAAAACCTCCCTAAAGTAATAGATATTCATTGAATATGTGAAAACACAGAAAGGCACAATAAAAAAAACCCGAAATTCACTGATATTCTCATTTTCTCTGTCAGTTCTTAAAATGTAGCACCTGGATTAGCAGCAGCAGCTTCATCACCATCATCATCACTATCACCATTATCATCATCCCTTGTGAACTTGTTAGAAATGCAAATTCCTAAGCCAGACTTACCAAAATACAACTCTGGCTCTGGGGCCCAGCAATTGGTATTTTCACAAGCCCGGTGATTCTGCTACTGGCCAAAGTTTGAGGACCAGTGATCTAGACTTAACCACTGTTAATTTTGTTGTAGATCCTTGTAGTCTTCCTAAAAATATTATGAAAGCTTTTAGGCATGCAAATAAGTATATAGACTAATATAAGACACACCCATTTACCTACTACCCAGATAAACTATTAGACAAATAGTTCCTTTGTTTTCTACCCCAGAGGTAATCACCATTCTGTATTTGGTATTTACTTCCCTTGTTTTAAAAACATTGTTTATAGTTTTATGTAATCTAGTGCATTATTTTCTAGATTTAAAAATCTACACGAATAAATGGTCTCATACTTCAAGTACCCTTTTACAACTTGTATTTTATTTCAGCATTGTGTTTTTGAAATTTATCTGGGTTGATACATGCAATGCTGATTCACTTTTCATTGCTGTATAGTATTCCATTATAGGCTGTACCACTATTTGTTTTTTCATTCTCCTGTTGAACTTTTAGATTGTTCATATATTTTCTCTATTACAAACAGCTCTGCAATGAATATTCTTGCACATGCCTCCTTGTGTATATGTATAAGAATTTCTCTAGGATGTAAAAGTCTAGGGCAGGGGTGGGCAAACTTTTTGACTCGAGGGCCACAATGGGTTCTTAAACTGGACCGGAGGGCCGGAACAAAAGCATGGATGGAGTGTTTGTGTGAACTAATATAAATTCAAAGTAAACATCATTACATAAAAGGGTGCGGTCTCTTTTTTTTTTTTAGTTTTATTCATTTCAAATGGGCCGGATCTGGCCCGCGGGCCGTAGTTTGCCCACAGCTGGTCTAGGGGATGGATATACATTTATATACACACACAAATATACATCTATGATAGTGGAATTGCTGGATCCCAGGGTCTGGATACTTCCTAATTGTTTTCTAAAGTAGTAAAACCAATTTTCACTTCTATCAAATATTTCATTATAATTTTTTTCCTTATAGTTTGTTCATTTGAAACTTTGTTTAAAAAGTCCATACCTGGGCTCTGGCTGGGTAGCTCATTTGATTAGAGTGTTGTCCAGATACACCAAGGTTGCAGGTTCCATCCCGGGTCAGGGCACATACAAGAATCAACCAATGAATGCATAAGTAAGTGGAACAACAAATCGATGTTTTTTTCTCTCTCCCCCTCTAAAATCAATTTAAAAAAAAGCCCATACCTGTCCTAGGTTACAAAAATATTTCCCACCTTCTTATGGGGAAATAAGTAGGTACCCAGTTTTATTTTTCTCCTTATGGCGAGCCAAATTTCCCAATGCTATCTACCAAAATGTCCATTCCCCATTGATTTGTGGTACAGGCCTAAAATTTCACCCATTTAACAAACATTTGCCCAAGCCTGCTTGTACCAGTCTTGTTGAGGGTTCGAAGCTATATGGCCCATAGTCTGTTGAGATATATCCAAGTAAACAATAACAGTATTAAGTGATATGTAAGAAAGTGTCCTGGGTTTCTTACTCAGCTAGGGAAGTTCTTAGACGTGACAAGGGTCGGGTATTAAAGAAACAGCAAGGATTTGCTAATGCTGGGGTAAAGGTGAAGGTGACCAGGGCTGGTTTGAAGTCCAAAGGAGTTTAGTGTGTGTCTATGGTGAGAGATTAGAATCCTTCCATGATGTAGGGCAGGGGTGGGAAACGACCAGTCTGCCGCCCGGTAAGGCCCCAGAAATCATTTGGTCTGGGCATTAGGGGTGAGTTAATGAAATGTTTGACCAAATATAGCAGGCTAAATTTTATGTTGATAATTTTGTATGGCACTTGAATGATGTTATAAATATCCAAATGGCCCTTGGCAGGAAAAGGTTTCCCACCCCTGCTGGGGCAGCGAGTCCTTTGTGTGTAAGGAGTAGGACTAGGTGGAGGTGGAGGGACATATCCTCGGGGTAAAGGGGCTTGGCCCCACCCCAAAGTTTAGGTAGGTTACAGGAAGAGGAGGGGCTGCAATAAAATGGTCATTAGACATTTTCAGACTGATATTTACGTATTTTAGGGGGAGACATTCTCCAGCCAGGTCAGGAACTCCTCTAGAGTTTCTGGAGAAACCCTAACCTGCCCCAACTCGAGATATAAATTAATGAATTCTGCAGACACGGCTCCGGGGTCTGAGGGAAGCGGGGGAAGGGGAGGAAGAGGGCAAACGGGTGGGAGAGGCTTTTCCAATTGTTTGGCTCTTGGGCCTGACCATGGATCTTAGCTTTTGCAGAGAGAGCTGGCAATGGCTGCCAACGGGTCTGTCTGGGCCCTACAAGTCTGGAAGGTTGCTGCAAACAGCTACCCAAGTCGCTCCAGGTGGGGAATACTCGGGAAGACATGTGACTCAGGCGGCCATTTTCTCACACCCTGCCCGTCGCCATCTTCCACTGTAGACAAAGGCACGGCTCTCCACCCTCGTCTGATGCCGTCCTGGTTCTCGCCTGGCCTCCACGATTCGGGAACACGCGTCTCTGGCCTCGGCTGAGGACCGCGGGGAAAACCTGGGCTTCCAAGTTCGTTAGGTGACCACACCAGTCCAGCCGCCGCGAGCCCCTCCCGCCGTCCCCTTCCGCATCCCCTCCTCCCTCCTCCCCCTCAGCCTGTTTCCTTTCCTTTCGGGGCAGCCGGAGGGCGGGGCCATCGCGGCCGCGGGGAAGGGACGGGCGGGCGCGAGCTGTCAATCTGAAGCCCCGCCCCTCGCAGCGCACGGCGGGCGGGGCTGGAGGCGGGAGCCTGGGAACCGGAAGTCGGAACCCAGCGGCGCGAGCGCAGCCTCTGGGCCAACTGCGTTGTCTTTCCAGCCTCTCCTCTCAGCTCCCCGCCGGAAGTGGAGGTAAGGGACGATTCTCTTTCTTAGCGCTGAGCGCGCGCCCAGCCGGCCGCGCGGTAAGGGTTGGCTGTGTGAGGTGAAGCAAGAGGTGCCCTCCACCCGGGAATAGAGAGGTAAACAGCCGGCTCCCTTCAGGGTAAAGGGCCCGGATGCAGTCAGGGATCGCTGCGCACGTGGACGTGCGCCCAATGCACTCGTGCGGGCCAGAGGAGCATGGCCCCGCCCCGTTTAGACTGCTGTGGACACGGTACACACTGTATAGAGTCATAGACCCCGCCTGTGGGGAAAAGCGTCGAGGGCTCTCCTCCCTTCACGATAGGGAGGTTCCATTCCGCACTCTCCGGGTGTAGACAGGTGTCTCCCTCCCTGCCCGAAGGTGTGGCGACCTCGACCTCACCCCTGTAGACACCTCATGGGGCTGACCGGCGCTAACCTCTGTGGGCACTAAGGCACACAGATCCGCCTCAACGCACCTCTTCCCTTAGGAGAGGGACTTTGATGTTTTCCCCCCTACCCCCGCCCGACCACCAGTAAAGTGGAACTTAATATACCGAGGCGGGGGAACAATCCTTCCCTTCCAGTCAAGACCTGGAGACGCCCTAACCTCGATCAGCCCCTAACCTCGCTCCGGTGTAGCTAATTGATGGAAGGCCCGCCCCCACTTCTGCAGAGATTGTAGATCACCCCTCCCCAAATGATGGGAGGCACAAGTTTCAGCCTACGGGGGAACCGAACCTTGCAGATTTCCTCCTCCTAGGCTAGCGTGAGTTCCCATTGTGGAAAAATAGCCCACTCTTGAAGGAGGTGCCAATTTACTGAATTTGTAAGGACCCCCAAAATGCCCCACAACAAACTGCAATACACCATGAAGAGACTGTCAGATCTGTCTCTTGTGGAGCTCCCAGGGTAGAGGGGTTTAGATTTGTTCTCCTTTTGAGGTAGACAGAGATCACCCTCCACCCAAGGATTTAGAATCATCATATGTAGCAAGAAGAGCCTCCAAGGGACCAGAGAGCTCCCCTTCTCTGTAGTGTTGAGAGGCAATGACACCACTGATCAATCACCCATAGTTCGTGCATATGGGTTCCCCACTTACCCAAGGTAGAGGAGTGTAATCTCCATCCAGGGTGAAAACACAGGACCACCCAAGTTTAAAATACAGGAACACCCCCTGCCCCCCAAGAGTAAGGGCCAGTCCTTTGAATTTATAGCTGGGTTGCAACCCCCCTGCTGGGAAACATGTCCTATTCCCTTCAATGTTAGTACACTGATAAATAGATCTTCCCCATTCCACCTCCCATAGAAAGGTCTGGAATAGCCCACAGCAGGCAAGGTACAGACCCCACTCATGCAAAGCAGCATAAGTCCCCCCTTTGTTAGTGTGGCAATAATGTCACCTTGTAGTAAAGACTGAGGCATATCAGTCCCACCCCACAGACCACCCTAGGGCAAAGAGGCCCAGGACCACCCTTTGTACAACTTAGAGATGATCAGACCCACCCTTCTCCCCCAGGCTGCAGAGATGCAGCCACAGTACCAGTTTCCCCACTTCCTCTGCACCCGGGAGTTGAGCGACAGAAGACATTCTGTCCACCCCAGTCACCAAGAAACAGACCCCAACCACACATGCAAGCAGATTTTCTCCCCTCCCCAAGGTTTTGCACTGACCTCAGTCCACATAGACACATAAAAAACCCTATTCTGGGGCCCCTTTTCCTGGGATTTGTTTTTACCAACCTGTTTAGGGTAGATGAGACACAGAACCCCCTACTTAGGAAAAGAAGTACTGTAAACACCTAATGTAGAACTAAATTGTTCTTGCATACTCCTTCCCTCAGTGTAGAGATGCTTAGTGCTGCTCCCTTACCTACAGGGTAGAGTGGTAAGGACCAAGGACCCCATCCAATGCATTGTGTCATTGACTCCACCCTGGAAGAAAGGTTTAGATTGAGTCTTCCTTTGGGTAGTATGACCCTGCCTTCCCTGTGCGGACTCAGCCATACCAGGCCCCAGCTTCAGTGTAGTCCCTTCCTCAAATTGTGAAGGCTTCCTTATGTTCTTTAACGTTTCATTTTGCCTTTTGGGGGCTCAGAGGAGGCTTGTGGCATTGTGGTTCCCCACTCCTGTCTTCAAATTGGTTCTGCTTCCATTCTGACAGGAAGAAAGCCTGCAGATTCGAACCTATCTCCTAAGCTGCTCATCATGATGAAACTTAGACACAGTGAGTTTCTTTGATCACCCCTCCCAATTCTAAATTGTAGTGAATATTCATAATGTTTCATGGCAACTTTAAAAAATTGCCCAGAATGTACCAGATTACTCTGAATGTCTTTTTTTTTTAAATATATTTTTATTGATTTCAGAGAGGAAGGGAGAGGGAGAGAGAGATAGAAACATCAATGATGAGAGAGAATCTTGATCGGCTGCCTCCTGCATGTCGCATACTGGGTATCAAGCCTGCAACCCCGTGCATGTGCCCTTGACTGGAATCAAACCTGGGATCCTTTGGTCCCCAGGCTAATGCTCTATCCACTGAGCCAAACCAGCTAGGGCTGAATGTCTTTTATATATGGTACCGGAGGACTGGTACACAAAATTCGTGCACAGGGCAGGGTGTGTCCCTCAGGCCAGCCTGCACCCTCTCCAATCTGGGACCCCTTGTGGGATTGGGACTACACCAGTAGTCGGACATCCCTCTTACAATCTGGGACTGCTGGCTCCCAGCTGCTCACCTGCCTGATTACCCCTCACCGCTTCTACTTGCCAGCCTGATTGCCCCCTACCGCTCCCCTGCCTGCCTGATTGATGCCTAACTGCTCCCCTGCTGGCCTGATCACCCCCAACTGCCCTCCCCTGCAGGCCTGGTCACCCCCAACTAGCCTCTTCTTTTTTTTTTTTTTGACTGCTTTACCTATTTTATTTATTTATTTTTTTAACTATTTTTTATTGCTTAAAATATTACAAAGAGTAGTACATTTGTCTCCTTTTTTCCCCCTTGACCTTCCCCCAGCCTCGCCTACCTCCCAGTGTCTTGTGTCCATTGGTTATGCTTATATGCATGCATACAAGTCCTTTGGTTGATCTCTTACCCCCACTCCCAACCCTCCCCAGTCTTCCTGCTGTAGTTTGACAATCTGTTTAATGCTGCTCTGCCTCTGTATCTATTTTTGTTCATCAGTTTATAATGGTCTTTATTATCCATAAAGGAGTGAGATCATGTGGTATATTTCTTTCACTGACTGGCTTATTTCACTTAGCATAATGCTCTGCAGTTCCATCCATGCTGTTGCAAATGGTATGAATTCCTTCTTTTATACCGCAGTGTAGTATTCCATTGTGCAGATGTACCACGGTTTTCTAATCCATTCATCTGTTGATGGGCACTTAGGCTGTTTCCAGATCTTAGCTATGGTGAATTGTGCTGTTATGAACATAGGAATTCATATATCCTTTCTGATTGGTGTTTCTGGTTTCTTGGGATATATTCCTAGAAGTGGGATCACTGGATCCAATGGGAGTTCCATTTTTAAGTTTTTGAGGAAACTCCATACTGTTCTCCACAGTGGCTGCACCAGTCTGCATTCCCACCAGCAGTGCACGAGGGTTCCTTTATCTCCACATCCCCTCCAACACTTGTTGTTTGTTGATTTGTTGATGATAGCCATTCTGATAGGTGTGAGATGGTACCTCATTGTTGTTTTGATTTGCATCTCTCGGATGATTAGTGACTTTGAGCATGTTTTCATATGTCTCTTGGCTTTCTGAATGTCCTCTTTTGAAAAGTGTCTATATAGGTCCTTTGCCCATTTTTTGATTAGATTGTTTATCTTCCTTTTGTTAAGTTGTATGAGTTCCCTATAAATGTTGGAGATTAAACAATTATCGGTGATAACATTGGCAAATATGTTCTCCCATGCAGTGGGCTTGTTGTTTTGTTGATGGTTTCTTTTGCTGTGCAGAAGCTTTTTATTTTGATGTAGTCCCATTTGCTTATTTTCTCTTTAATTTCCAATGCCCTAGGACTGTGGTCGGCAAACTGGGACTCGCTAGCCACATGCGGCTCTTTGGCCCCTTGAGTGTGGCTCTTCCTAAGCCTTAGGAGTACCCTAATTAAGTTAATAACAATGTACCTACCTATATAATTTAATTTTAAAAAATTGGGCTCTCAAAAGAAATTTCAATCGTTGTACTGTTGATATTTGGCTCTGTTAACTAATGAATTTGCCAACCACTGCCCTAGGAGATGTATCGGTGAAGAAATTGCTTCCGCATATGTCTGAGATTTTGTTGCCTTTGGATTCCTCTAGTATTTTTATGGTTTCCCGTCTTACATTTAAGTCCTTTATCCATTTTGAGTTTATTTTTGTGTATGGTGTAAAGTTGGTGGTCTAGTTTCTTTCATTTTTTTTCATGTATCTGTCCAATTTTCCCAACACCATTTATTGAAGAGACTGTCTTGACTCCATTGTATGTTCTTGCCTCCTTTGTCAGATATTAATTGAGCATAGTGGTTTGGGTCGATTTCTGGGTTCTCTGTTCTATTCCATTGATCTATATGTCTGTTCTTGTGCCAGTACCAGGCAGTTTTGAGAACAGTGGCTTTGTAATACAGCTTGATATCTGGTATTGAGATCCCACCTACTTTGTTCTTCTTTCTCAGGATTGCTGCAGCTATTCGGGGTCTTTTTTAATTCCAGATGAATTTTTGGAGAGTTCGTTCTAGGTCTGTGAAATATGCCATTGGTATTTTAATGGGGAGTGTGTTGAATTTATAGATTGCTTTGGGTAGTATGGACATTTTAATGATGTTGATTCTACCAATCCAAGGACATGTTATGTTCTTCCATCTGTTTATGTCTTCCTCTATCTCTTTTTTCAATGCCCTGTAGTTTTCTGAGTAGAGGTCTTTTGCCTCTTTAGTTAGGGTTATTCCTAGGTATCTTAATTTTTTTGGTGTGATGGTAAATGGGATTGCTTTTTTAGTCTCTCTTTCTGTAACTTCATTATTGGTGTATAGAAATGCCATAGATTTCTTGGCATTAATTTTGTATTCTGCTACATTGCTGAATTCATTTATTAAGTCTAATAGTTTTCTGATGGAGTCTTTAGGGTTTTTTATGTACAATATTATGCCATCTGCAAATAAGGACAGTTTTACTTCATTTCCAATTTGGATGCCTTTTATTTCTTCTTCTTGTGTAATTGCAATGGCTAATACTTCCAGTACTATGTCGAACAGGAGTGGTGAGGGTGGGCATCCCTGTCTTGTTCCTGTTCTTAGGGGAAATGGTTTTAGTTTTTGCCCATTGAATATGATGTTGGCTGTGAGTTTGTCATATATAGCTTTTATTATGTTGAGGTATGATCCTTCTACTCCCGCCTTGCTGAGAGTTTTTATCAAAAGTGGGTGTTGGATTTTGTCAAATGCTTTTTCTGCATCAATTGATATGACCATGTGGTTTTTTTCTTTCAATTTGTTTATGTGATGTATCACGTTTATTGATTTGCGGATATTGTACCATCCTTGCATCCCTGGGATAAATCCTACTTGGTCATGGTGTATGATCTTTCTGATGTACTGCTGGATCTGATTTGCTAAGATTTTGTTGAGGATTTTGGCATCTATGTTCATGAGGGATATTGGCCTGTAATTCTCTTTCATTGTGTTGTCTTTATCTGGTTTTGGTATTAGGGTGATGCTGGCTTCATAGAATGAGCTTGGAAGTGTTCCTTCCTCTTGAATTTTTTGTAGTAATCTAAGGAGGATAGGTTTTAGTTCTTCCTTGAATGTTTGGTAAAACTCCCCTGTGAAGCCGTCTGGCCCCGGACTTTTGTTTGCTGGAAGCTTTTTGATGACTGCTTCAATTTCTTCCATAGTTATTGGCCTGTTGAGATTTTTAGATTCTTACTGATTAAGTTTTGGAAGGTTGTATTTTTCTAGGAATATGTCCATTTCCTCCAGGTTGTCTAGTTTGTTGGTGTAGAGTTGTTCATAATATTTTTTTTAACAATCCTTTGTATTTCTGTGGGGTCTGTTGTTATTTCTCCTCTTTCATTTTTGATTTTGTTTATTTGGGTCCTCTTTGTTTCTTAGTGAGCCTGGCTAGAGGTTCATCAATCTTGTTTATCTTTTCAAAGTACCAGCTCTTGGCTTTGTTGATCTTTTGTATTGCTTTTTGGTCTCTATGTCATTTATCTCCACTCTGATCTTTATTATTTCCTTCCTTCTGCTTACACTGGGCTTTTCTTGTTGCTCTCTTTCTAACTCTTTGAGTTGTAGGGTTAGGTAATTTATTATCATTGTTTTTTGTTTTTTTGCAGTAGGCTTGTAGAGCTATGAACTTCCCTCTCAAGACTGCTTTCGCTGTGTCCCATAGGTTTTGGATTGTTGTGTTTTCATTGTCGTTTGTTGCCATGATGTTTTTTATTTCTTCTTTGATCTCTCTGGTAACCCAGTCATTGTTTAATAGCATGCTATTTAGTCTTCATGTGTTTGATTTTTTGGGATTGTTTTTATTGTAGTTGATTTCCAGTTTTATGCCATTGTGATCTGAGAAGACGCTTGATATGATTTCTGTCTTCTTGAATTTGAAGAGACTTTGCCTGCGACCCAATATATGGTCTATCTTTGAAAATGACCCATGTGCACTTGAGGAGAATGTATATTCTGTGGCTTTGGGGTGAAATGTTCTGAAGATGTCAATTAATTCCATCTGATCTAGTGAGTCATCTAGGATTGATGTTTCTTTGCTGATTTTTTGTTTAGAGGATTTTTCCAATGGTGATAGTGGGGTATTAAAGTCCCCTACTATTATTGTATTGCTGTCAATCTCTCACTTGATCTTCTCCAGAAGTTTTCTTATGTATTTGGGTGCTCCTATATTGGGTGCGTATATGTTTACCAGAGTTATTTCTTCTTGTTGGATTGCTCCCTTTAGTATTATGAAGTAGCCTTCCTTATCTCTTTTTATGTCCTTCACTTTGAGATCTAGTTTGTCAGATATAAGTATTGCTACCCCAGCTTTTTTTCATTTCCATTCGCCTGAAAAACCTTTTTCCATCCCTTCACCATCAGTCTGTGTGTGTCTTTTTTTCTGAGGTGGGTTTCCTGTAGACAGGAGATATATGGGTCATGTTTTCTTATCCATTCAGTTACCCTATGTCTTTTGATTGGGGCATTTAATCCATTTAAATTTAAAGTTATTATTGATTGATACTTGT